GAAAAGAAAAAAAAGGTTGATTAATAATTTTGATGACTCCATAATAGTATAACATAATTGCATATTTTATCACAATAGAATCTGAAGTAATAAAAAAAGAGTCAATTATAGTCAAACTAATAAACTCAATACTGATGGAACATACAAACGTACATGTGACACAAATTCAGAGGAGAAATATACCCTATATTCTTTGTTATTACATGTAAATACTATTGTAAACACAATACTATAATAATATATTTCTGATGCCATTGAGTCATCCATATTTGACCAACTCCTTGCTTTATTTCAGAACACATCAAAACCTGCAAAAAAAATATAATAGATTGTGTATACAATGCAAATTGAAGAACATTATTCAAAACAAGCCATGCATGGCACAGTCCCCGTTAGTTATCAAATTTAAGATAAATAGTTTTGTTTATAGTAATATGGCTTGATTATATGATTTGTATCTGATCGTCAAACAAGTAAGTACTTGAGAGATATTGCTCTGGAACAGCATTCAAAATCAGCCATTTTGAATACATGTATATATATATATATATATATATATATATATATATATAACATGATGTATAACGAATATATGAAATTTGAATATAATCAGTCAAAGCATTTAAGAGATATGGCTCTAGAAGTTCAATCATTAAAACAAAATGGCCGCCAGTCAGCCATTTTTAATTCGATCTGAAAAATAAATGATGTGCATCAGGAACCTGTAATGTCTAATATATATGTACCAAGTTTGAATGAAATCCACCCATAAATGCCAGAAATGCTTGATATTTGATGATTTTTTAGCACAAAAATAGCCACCATTTGGCCATTTTGAATAGGATCGTCAAACCAATATATCTGTCTATCTATGACATGATGTATAATGAATATTTAAAATTTGAACATATTCAGTGAAAGCAAGTCAGAGATATGGCACGAGAACCACATTCATTAAAACAAAATGGCGCCAGTTGGCCATTTTGAATCTTATCTGAAAAACATCAAGGTCCTATAATGTCTAATGTATGAGAAATGCTTGATTTTAATGATTTTTAGCACAAAAATGGCCGCCAATCGGCTATCTTGAATCAGATCATGCAACAAATTGACGTGCATATGTATAATATCGTGTATGATGTATGTGTGAAGTTTGATTGTGATTGGTCCAGGCATTTCTAAGATACAGGTATGGACACACGCACAGACGCACGCACAAACACACGGAGGTCAAAACATAAGTCCCCGTTTTCGGACTGCGTCCGAACAGGGACTAATAAAGAGTGGGCGTGTCCTGTCAAGGGGAAAGTGGTGTTACACAATTCAAAATTTTATATTACACATGAATTGAATTTTCAGATGGCAAATGCAAATCACTTACCATGACCTGATTCAGTTACTTGGATACCTCATTCTCTTCCTTCCCATCACCCATTTCATCCTCTTCTCGTGTTGTAGGTCTGGATGAATGCATACTGCTCTCAGTGTCGACATGAATAGATACTCCTGTTTCTGAATTCATAGCTGATGTACTAGGATGAGAAGCTGTATTCTGCTTCACTGCTGAAGTGGAGTCACTTGCATGTGATAAGTTCATTTGAGATGATGTCATGCTTGATTGTGAGGTTGTCGTAGCAGCTGTTGTTGCTCCTAGAACAGAGCTCTCTATTCCTGGAATTCGACCCTCTAGGTAAGTCAATAAATGTTCCACATTTTTTGACTGCAGCCCTAAGGTGGGCATAAATTTCATGAAGTGTAACTTCCTATGTCGATGCATTGTGGCACTCTGCCTAAAAGCTTTCCCACACAAGTTACACTGAAAAGGCTTCTCACCAGTATGTATTCGTCTGTGTGCTACCAGATGAGACTGGAATTGAAAAGACTTGTTACAATATTCACAAGGGAATGGCCTCGCATTTGAGTGACTCATTTTATGCCTTTCTAGTCTCCAGTGGTTTCCAAACACTTTGCCACAAATGTTGCATGACCATCTGCTATGAATGTTTGTATTTACATTCAGCTTTGCTTTTCTATTTCTCAATGGCTGCATAATACTTGTTTTCACTGTTCGATCCATCACTAAGGGTGACACAGCAACCATGCTTTCCTCCTCTTCTTCCTCATCATCATCATCTTCAACATCCTCTATGTCTTCTTCATCTTCCTCTTCTTCTTCCTCTTCATCTTCTTCTTCATCTTCAAACTCTTCATCAATGTAGTTTTGCATTTGTCTAAACTCTGCTGGAATTGATTCATCATGCTGTATTTCCTGGTACAAACCCAGTCTGGATGGTCCAGCTTGAGGTACATCATCACCAACATCTCCAGATTCATTCAATTGAGAATTGTTCATCATTTCAAAATTTTTGTGCAGCTTGGCATGTCTGGACATTGTTCCTTTCTGTCTGAATGCTTTACCACAGTCTGGACATTTGAATGGTTTTTCACCACTGTGAATTCGTTTATGCATCACCAAATGTCCCATCACTTTAAATGCCTTACCGCATTCGGAGCATTCAAATGGCCTTCTGAACACATTGTACTGATTAGATGCCATCTGCCACATTTCTTCATCAAGTTTCTCATTTTCTGATTGGTCCTCTCCTGTTGGGCTCCATGAACTCAAAATAGCTTGTCCACCCTGAGCCTCTTTTGCCGTTACCTGGTGTGTACTTATTCTATGTCTGACGAGATCAGCATGGTCGGCAAAGAAACCAGAACACAATCCACAATTAAAAACCTGGATATTTTGATTTTCCAAGATTAATTTGATTTCAGTTTGCTTTAATGTAATATGCTGGGTAGTTTGAGGTTTGGGTTTCTGCTGTACAGGTTGAAATGATGGTCTTGCATTCTGGGGCATATGTCTTAGAAGTTTATGTCTTTTCATGGTAGAGCTATGTCGAAATAGACGTCCACAAATATTACACTTGTATGGTTTTTCACCAGTATGTCTTCGTCTATGGGTAATTAGAGCACTTGCAGATACAAATCGCTGATTACACATTTCACAAGCAAATGGTTTCTCACCCAGGTGCTTGACTAATTTATGAATTTTTAACGCTGCTTTCCCAACAAAATGCTTCCCACAGTGAGCACATGAATGATTTTTGGGTACAGGCCTCTCCTTTATGGATGTTGGTGCAATCTCTGTTTCTCTAGTGATTGCAGACTCTTTTGTGACAGCTACAGTGTGGTTTCCTTGGTTAATCTCTGGTGGACTAGTTGATTTAGAAGACGTTATCGGCCGTGACAATCTGGAAGGGGATTTTTGTCCCACTTCTGGGTTCTTATTTGGGACAGCATTTTTTGGTGTTGAATGTTGTGTAACACTTGGTGGTGAGAAATTAAATTGCCGTGGTGTTTCAGGATGGTTTACAGGAGTGCTACTTTCACTTGAAGTACCTTTTGATGAGATGGACTGTTGCCACTGATCATTTTCAGTATTTCGTGAATTAGGTGCAACCAGGACGCGATTATGTATATGAGTGTCAGTAGTAATGTGGTGCTGCGATGGATACGAGACATGGTGGTGTTCTTGTGGGATGGGAGATCTGTATGCAGGGGCAGAGGTAGCGATTGTTCTTGGCACATCAACCCTTAACGGTGTCATTCCAGGAAAAACAGGCTGTGATGAAAATGTTGACATTGTTGGATGGATAACAGAGTGGTGTTCCATGACTGGTGTCATTACTTCCGGTTGATGAGACAATCTATCATTCTGTCCAGGATGTGGATACTGGACAACTTGTTGGGAAAGTATCTGCGATATCTTATCCATTGTTTCTTTTTGACTTTTCCGTCTTTCTTCGGCATGCATGGCTTTAATATGTCGATTCCTTGTTGCGCTCTGTCGAAACGTTTTCCAACAATAATTGCACTGAAATGGTTTTTCACCTGTGTGAATTCTTTTATGTGCAACCAAACTCCCTGTAGACTTGAAAGACAAATTACAGACATCACATATAAAGGGTCTCTCGCCCTCATTTGCATGGCTACGCTCATGTTCAACGTACACCTCAAAAACTGAGAATTTTCTTCCACAGACAGTACATCTGTATCCCAAACTACCAGCATCACCTTTCTGCGACTCTGCAGTGGGATGAGAAGACTCTGTTAGGTCATCATCAATAACAATGCTATTGTCCTCCTCTTCATGAATCATTCTGACTTCATTGTCTGCAAGACAAAGACACAATAATACATTTATTAAAGCTATAATGGTGTCTCCATTACTCAGTTCTATAATTTAATCATATTATATTTATTGCGTCACTTTCCCCAATTCGTTTCTATTATGCTCCAGCCATTGCTGATCAATTGCATACAAAGCCTCGCTTTCGCGTTGACGGAAAATTTTAGCGATGAATCGTATGTATTGTATTGTTGCAATGGGACTAAAAGCAAAGCTTCGAACACAAATTAGTCGGCAATATCTAGAGCATGATAATAGCCAATCAAGGATAATTGGCAAACTAATTAAAAAAACAAATTTTAGACTAAAAAATGCAATTCTCTCTGAATTTTTTGAGTTTTGATTAACACAGGTGATATTTAACCTATTCCACTTTCATGCACAATTTGGCCAAAATATTGGTATTTGAAAATTATGTCCAAATTAACAAAGGAATTAATGTAAAATAATTCAAAACAAAAATGTGAAATATATTCCACAAAAATTTTGAAGGGGAATGGAAAACAAAACTAACAGTGAACTAGAATTTCTTATATAGTGTAGTCAAGATTTGATAATACATTGGGAAAACATAGCATAACTAATACAACCTTGTTAATTGAGAACCAAGATTAACTCTTATCTGGTCAAGTCAATGTGAAAGTATATTGGGCTGACAGACTGAGGGTCAAATGATTGGATGGATAACTAACTGACAAAGTCTTGAAATGATACTAAAATAGGCAAGCATCATAATTACATAAAAAATTTCAGGGATTGCGTTAACACCATATTTTGCTTCCCGGACTCCAATAATTGAAGAGGGACCCAGTTTTTCAGGCAAACTGAGGTCCAATCTCTAATAAAGTTATCCAGGGTCAAATTTCAATTTCTTAAATTTGTTTAAGTGGGACTCGTCTTGTTAAGACATTAGCGCAAACCCTGAATTTATGTATATTCGTTTTCCTTAAATAATACTACATGTACTGTATCAATCTCAATGTCCATCATACATGTAGAATAATATAATGTAAATTGTATAAATGTCCTAAGGAAATAGTAGTACAGGAACATATCTAAGCAAAATTTGACAACAAAAATTCAAGCCAATGTGACCTCAATTAATACTACATATACTTTATAAATCTCAATGTACCTTATAAAATAAAATAAAATTAATTGTACAAAAGCTCCTAAATAATAGTGAAGTAATCTATTTGGAAAAAAAAAACGAGTCAGAATTGAAAACTACGGTAAACACTGCATTTTTTTTATTTATACTCATAACAACATATCTGTTTACTACACTTATTTAATTAACAAATCTAGATCTCACAGAGCATAGATTACTAAAATCTGGTTCTCATTATCAGCAATATAAATATCTTCATTCTGTCCTCTTATTTCTACGTCTAAAAATCTTGAAAATTGCACTTGCTAGTTACACCAAAATTAAAATTGGTTGAGATTTCATAGCAACTGATAAAATTGTAACCAAAAGAAGAAGACAATTATAAGTAAAATTTAATGAATATCTTAGACTGCCATTTTGAATCCACAAAAACAACAAATACATTTGAATGTGCAATCAGTCAAGGAATATCTGAGATATGACATTAGAACAGCTTTCATTAAAACAAAATGACCACCAGTCAGCCATTTTGAATTTTAAAAACAAAATGTGTCCACATCCCAGCATGTACAATGTATGACCAAGAACCAGTTACTTGATTGGCAGAAAAGCTTTAAAATGGTCACCATTCAGCCATTTTGAAATTGATAGTGTGTACATGTGTCACATGATTTATATGTGAAGTTTGATTGTAATCAGTACATCATGGAATGTCTGTGATAGAAAAGGACATACATATGCATGTACACACAGACGGATGGACAGATGGACAGATGCGCAGAAACTAAAAAGCAATCAAAGCTTCTACTTTTACAACATCAGATTTTAATCAAATTGAGGTATACCCCATTTACTTACACATGTTTAGTAGATTATAGAGAATGTCTTATTTACTCTTAACTATATAACAAACAAACATGATCACAATTGTGAATTAAACAGATTACAGCACAGATCATCAGAAATGTATGAACTACCGGGTATTACCGTAATCTACACAAAAATGGACCATTAGTTTCAATACGACTAACAAACTGCATGTTGAAAAGCGTACAAGGGACATTCCAGAAGTTAATTAGTATGCAAATTACTTAATAAATATGCACACATTTGTTTCCAAACTAATAAGCTCCGGAGTTCATAATGTAAGTACAATTCCAATCCAGCCACTGGCTATATTATAGAACAAAAAATTTCACATACATACATGCATGCAAAATACAGACAGACAGATGACATTACCTCCCAAATGTGCTCTGCACATAGATGCCAAACAGTATATTGTATATTGTTTTTATTCAGTTGTACTTTACAATTTTCATGCTAAATATTGTCTCTTAATGTGACTTGAATTATAAGTGTGCCCTTAAATTGTGGTTCTCTAGGGAAAGGTTTTCTAACTAGATGTCATGGAAACTATATCTCCATACATCTTAATGTCATGTCTAAGCCATGTAAATGAATCTCATTATTCTACTGTGAAAGACATGCATACACAAACATTTTATTCAGAACAACACATACCTGAATTATTTTGAAGAATAAATTAATTTTATAAAAATAAATTTTGAAACTAATAAATTTGGAATGATTTAAATATAAATTCAAACCTTGTTGGTCATAATTTTCATTATAACTTCTCATATTACCATCTGTACCATTGGCATGGTTACCATGATTTTTGACCACTACTGTATCACCGTTTTCTGTCTCAACTATCATCACTCCTTTGGAGTCCTCAGATGGTTCTTCTTTTACCATTTTCTCATTACCATTTTGTTTATCAACAACCCAGTGATGACGATAAACTGTGTTATCCTCCTGTAATCAATATAATTATGAATAAAAATAATATAATGAATGAAAAAACTATTAAAGATCTAGTCAGTGTGTGTGGACTGACAATAATTCAGCAACCCGCCCAACCCAGCCCTTTCATTTTGTAGTTAATTTGTGTGCAATTTTCAATTACTTGACTGTTTATGCACTATGTAAACATTACGTCATGGGCATTTTTGACATTTTGGTCAACTTGTAATAAACAGGAAGCCCAATAATTTTTCATCCACATATGGTGTTTTTCGTGTTTATTACATAATTTACTGAGTAATAACATGACCCAGACCACAAAAATGTGGTCATCACTTGATCTCATGCTATCTTAGTACTGGTTGTGACAGATGACCTCTGACATGGAGAACGAACAAAATATTTATTATTGATGAGCAGATTGAAAACACTTGCTGGTAACACAACACATTGAAAATATGCTAGATATTTCCTTGTACAGAACCGTTGTCCCAGGACTCTTGTGGCAGCTTGAGTTTGTTGGACACCGCACTACTGTGTTTGCGACTAAGATTCACCACATAATTTTGACAAGTAACCCCCAAATTCAAGATGACAAAACAATTATTAACTGTAAGCTAAGCTCCCTAATTCAGTGTAAATGTAATTGCTCTCATCTAAGTTGCAATTAATATTTGTTTCTCTAAGATATACCCGGTAAGGTCTCATGCCACCAATCAACCAATGGCTGCTCATAGCCCTCAATTTAAATGCCTAGTAAGAAACAATGAAATTTTTTAAATTTGTTTATTCTCAGGTGCTCCCTGTTTGAGGGCGTAATCAACTGGGTCAAAGGTGCGACCAACATGTGGTCTTTTGTTTACTACTTAGCGACTGTGTACCTGTGGGTTTATTCTGTGTGTATTTGGATGTTCTAATCTTGGTGTTTTTCCAGTGATTTCTCTAGGTGCAATCCATATACAGTAGGTGTGTCTTGTTTACCTGAGATTTGTAAGAGTTTGAGCTGGCCAACATGTTAGTTTTTTTCATATGGTTGTTTACTGGCATGTTGATTTCCCATTTTTGAGCCATGTTTTCAACTTTCTTCATCATTTTCATATAGCAATCTCGTCATATGTTAACATTGTCGTCTATGGAAATTCAATTAGTGATATGAGCCCGATACATGCACAGAATAGCAATGACATTATGAAAAATCACAAGCTCCGCAAATTTAGGACCAGCCCTGAATTATTTTTGTCATCATTGTCCAACAAGAACAAGGCCCCACACAGTGCATATACTGGATATTCAGCTATACAAAAATACATGTATGAATCACAAAATATGCAAATAAGCAATAATTAGTTTCAGAGAGCTCTTTCCCTCTTTACCACAGTAGCCACCAACTGTTTTTTCCGCTTTGCTTTAGACTCCGGAACATTTGCTACACAATTCGTGTTTTACCCACAATAAATTTACATATCTAGACCTTTAGCCTTTGAAAAAAACACCCAATCATGTAAGACATGATATCAGTATCAAAGGTCACTTGAATAATTAATAAATTACATGACTATATTTGTCAACTGGTAGGTGATTCCAATGCAACAGAATCATGCAGGCATTCTCTATTGTATTTCTGAATGCATTTTCTTACATTTTCAAAGGCATATTAAAACAATTTATTATACATCTGTCACCATAACACCATAAGCTAGAGTGTGCCGTAATTTTGCCGTATTTTACGGGGTATTTTCATCCTACCATATTAGGAAATGCGAATTCCAAATATGGAATGATTAAGCGCGAAAGCGTCCTCTAAAAACTAAAAACAAACATGGCTGCCACCAGAGTTTGACTGGACTCCACACAAAGAAGTTTGCTAACTTTGTTCTAAACATTTTGAATTTCGGCATTCCTGTGGTGAAACAAATATGTATTTTTGTGCGTTTTTTATTATTTATTATTAAATATTAATAATTATTTTTTTAGAATTTATTTGTCAACCAATTAACTTCTGTGTACAGTGCTGTATTCCTCAGTGAAAGTAAAATGTAAATGCAAAGGATAGAACAGTAATCACCAGTTTGATATAATGATGTGTCTGTTCTGAGCATATGGCATCTTATTTTACGACAGGACATGATAGTATTGCATATTGCATAATTATTAAATAGGTTTTATATTCACTTATATCATTTATACATAAAACTGCTATAAAATTAAAAACTCTGATTATGCAAAGTCAAGCGTAAGAATGTTTTGTTTCTTTTACAAACTAAAATTGAAAACCGTTCTTGTCAAAATCAACATCAAATTCACCAAAATTAAACCCAGTGAATATTTCTGTTTCTCCAAATATTATGTTTAATTCTAAGTGATTAATAATTTTAATATCTGGAGAGTAAGTACAAGTAGCAGGGTATCCCAGCAAAATAATGACAGTATACAAGTGCTACCAGGTTATTTTTACTGATAAAGTTGCGTAATCTATTAAAGAAGTCTTTACACATACTGCAATGAATAATCACTCACTTTACAGAGATAAGGAAGTCACTGTCAGGGATTTCATGTTTGAATTTGATGAATTGATGACATAAAGAGAAAACTAAAACTAGTCTATCTGGCATTTAAACCAAATTTAAACATTTTTCCCAAAATACCATTGTAAATTAGATACTTCAATTTATATCAAGCATGATTGCTACACGGAATACATTTAATAATAAATTATTTGTGTCCAAGCAATTTTAATCATAATCATAACAGTAACAATAAACATCACATTAAAACATTCACACCTAGCAAACACAATAAACAGAAATAAACCATTAGTGGCAGTGTTAGACCAGTATGGCAGTAAAAGAAAGCACTGTGGTGGTATCACTCCACTCTCTGTAACCTGCAAGTACATTGATTTGTCATAATTAATAAATAAGTTGAATAATTTCATATAAACAATTCTAACAGGACATTATTGAAATATAAAAGGAAATGGATCAGTCAGAGAGAATAAAGAGAAGATTATTTGGGTTTGCACAAACATCCTAAACCTGGAGATATGTTTAAATTTTTACTTTTTTTCATTTTCTAAATCAATCAATCAATCAACCAACAAACCAACCAAGTAAAATAACATTCAGGATGCAAATGTACTTTTGTCATTTGTTTTAATACTTAAAAATCCAAGTCATTTTCCAGAATAAAACTTTTAATGCCACAATTTCTAACCAACAATATAGTAGAACATTCTTTAGTACATTTTGATGCACTTTTTATAATGCTTTTACTTAACATATGATATAACACAACTCATATACAGGTTGTGATACAAAACTTATTACGCAGGTATTAATTTGTGAAAGATGACAAAATGAAATAAGTCAACTTTCAGGATTTACATTTAAATGAAAAACTAAATACACATAAAAAATGACATAAACGTGATGGTGGGCACAAAACATGGTTACTGTAAAGGGGGTAATTATTCACGGGGTTTTAATTTAGCTTATTTCGCTGACTGGAAAATGCGCTATTTTAAAACCCAGTGAATATGTAAAATTTACCATAGAACACATTATCTAAATGACGAAACCGTGAACTTAAAACTCACTGAATATGCCTGAAATGGTAAATCAGTGAAATTTAAACCCAGTGAAAATTAGTCATTTTACAGTATTTAAATCAGTGCCCTTAATTCCAGAATTGCTGTACACTTTGGAATCATGGGAAACCATTGTTTTTTGTTGTTGATATTGTTAATCTGTCTGTTATTTTTTATATACTTGTAATGATAAGCTCAATTAATAATCTCACAGAACACTATGTATCCTGCAAACAAGTCTTCACAACCAAAGTGAGTTAAAATACAGCATGGATACACTGCAGCTGGAGTGAAAATAACTACCATATCCCATAATAGTTAGGGTAAGCCATGGTGTTCTGCTATTATTAAATATGGTTTCCATAGAATTAGCAAAAAAATGCCAACTGACAAAAGAAGCAAAAATAAACAAAATTCAACATTTTCAGTGTCAGAATGCACCGTGGCAATTTAAGCTGTGCATCATATGTCTAGAAAACCCAACTTTAGAAAGGGTCAATACAAATATTATTGAGCAAGCTTGTAACTATGAATACTGGACGTTTGTAACGTCAATAAATAAAAGAATATTAATACTTGTAAAAGATCTCAAAGCACTTCACGTGAAGTATCTATCAACTTTAAACATTCATTTACGAATTAACACCTAACTCATACATTGTACGATATGTCTTAATAACCATAATAAATGACCCACACTACAATGTTGGATTGTGCACTGCATATTACAAAGAGAGAGCCAATATCAAAGAATAACCTTGTTTAAAAAACAACAACATGTGCTTAATAAAGACAACAGTTTAATTTCTTTATAATTACAATTCAATTGGGGAATGTGGACATGTTCTAAATATAGGCACAATTAAAAATTCAACAACTGGAGACTTTATAGGGATATTTTGAAATTAAAATGGACATCTACATGACATTAAAAATTCATACATTCATTATAATCTCTACTATTCTCTACTTTAGTCTAAATATATTTCACTGATTATGGTGAATAATCAGTGTCCTCTGGAGAGAAAAGATTCATTTGCTAAATTTATTTAAATGTAATTCACTGCATTACATGTGATACTGTACATGGAAAAATATTCACTGAGTTAAGTTTACTTTATGTCGATTTGATGTTGTAGGTATGGTCAGTAGGCGTTAAATTCACTGGTTTGTGAAGAAAAAATTGCATTGTATATTCACTGGGTTATAATTTAGCGCATTCAGTTAACAGCGGAATAAACCAAAATAGAAACTTGTCAATGAATGCACCCTGTTTTTTTATAATTTCAAAAACATGACGACAAATAAAAACACATTTTAATAATAAGTTATATTCATCAATTTAATTGTCTCGCGTGACACCTATTTAAAAAAGAAAAATATAAAGTACCGTAAGCTTACACCATCATACTAGTATGTACAATAGCAGTGAAGAGATAATTATTCATTTGAGCAAGCTATGACTTGCTAGTTGCCTGCAATGGTGCAAAGCAATGCACACATTATAATCACCATAATGAAAAAAGAAAATATAGAGAGCTGTGTCAACAAGCTTAGCTCAGTACAAGACTGAATGATCACAAAGAATTTGTAACGAACATCTGTTTATCATATAAATGTTCATTATCAATGTATCACTGGTGTTATAATAATGATGAAGATAATGATATTATGATATAATAATGCATTTATAAAGCATAAATAATTTAAATCATTGGTGTAGACCGAATGCCACTATATTTAAAAGAAAATAATGCGGCTTCGCTGTGTGTACGTAATGGTGCACAAGTACAAGGACGCACCCAATATGCATGTCGAGGCACGACGAGGGGATTTTTTTTTTTAAAAGCAGCCAAAACACTGCTATTATTATTATTATTGTTTTTATCGACAGAATATGGAATTACGTTATGAGGTGGATATTTATTTCGCTATTTAGTCGGACGCACAGCTTGACTCAATATACAGAAAGAACGAATGAACTAGTGTGACATAGCTGATACGTGTGGCCTGGATGCTCTGCAAACAATGTCTGCTATGTAGTGAACTTTACGTGCATGCATGCATGCACAGCACGGAGCGAGCGAGCCGACTTCCAGGCACCACAACTGAAATCCCGAAGCCCCGCAGACACAACAACTCAAAGAAA